AGAGGATGATATTTTGATTTTGCTTTCTTCAGAGATGTACATGTTATTGTAATAATCTATGTGTATACTTTCATTATACTGACCTCTACCACAGTAATTTCTACATGTCTAAACACCTCTATGAGTATTTAATATTCACTGGATTCATGACTTATAATTAATCATTTGCCAGCTTACCCATATATAAACAAAATATAACTTTCACCGTTAAAATTAAATGAATATAAAAAATTAACATCATTATATACAATTTTACATAAACTTACAAAAATTATTTCCATAGATCACGCGGGAATCATTAACGTAAGAATAAGAATAATAATAATAATAATAAAATAAGGTATAAATGATTTAAATTTGTGGAGATATCAAAAGTTTTCAATTAATCTAAAAAAATTTTTTTACATTTATTAGTAAAAAAAAAAAAAATATATATTTTTATGAACATTCAAGGATTTTTCTAGCCGTTTTTAAATTTTACCTCACTTATACACTCCTTAAGCTTCCGGCTATCATAAAACACTATACTTTAGTATAGGTAGCTATTTCGTACTAAATATTGTGTGGTCTGAAATCTATCGTATTAACCTCAATACATATCGTAAAATAAATAATTTATATGTAATACATGTACGTTTATTTAATGTGAATACACGATTTACATTATCCTAAACATACTATATAAATGTATATTGTATATAGCCTAAATACAAGGCTATGTATAAGACATAGGTCTATTATGTTTAAAAGCAATAAAAAAATTAAAAGACATAAAATTCCAACACAAATTTACGACTAAAATAACAAATAGCAATGGTTTTAAAATTTTAATATCTGTTCGAACGATCCGATTATAATTGTATAATATATTATTGCTTATAATTTATATTGTTGTATAATATTTATGATGTTTTATGAAAAAAAAAAAATTGAGGGTAAATTTTAATCATATTTATTAATAAAAATGACTCTTAAATATTAATATTTACTCAGTTTAATTAATAGCAATGAATAGTAATGTAACACATATAAAAAAAAAGAGTGAACAGTACTTAATATTGACAATTATTAAACGTCTGTGTAATATGTATGTACAAAATATTTATAAATTATGTGCCGATATATAAAATATGACAATTCAAAAATAAAATGTTTTTCTTAGTTCTTATAAACCAATTTTTTTTATCATTATATCATTAACCGTATAAACTTAACGCATTAAAATTGACATTTATACCTTTCATTTTATCTGATAAAAGTTTTTAACGTGTTGTTATAAAAGGAAACGAAAAAGCCAGTCTATTAAATTTAAATTATCGAATATACACATATTATTATATCATGTAATAATACCATTACTGAAACAAATATACAATTCGATTTAATGCTGTGGTTATGAATATATATAGTTATTTAAATTAGTAATTATACATGAAAATAGAACATTATCTGAAGATTTAAATTAAAAAATTATGTATGATTTGCATTACCCACATCATTTTTTCATCCAAGTAAATCCAAGTAAATAAAAAAAGTAATTTTGTAGAACTATTTTGGGTTATATCCCATTTAATATTTTTGGATGTGATGATTATAGAAAAAATTATAGTTAAAATACTATAATATGTTTATACATAAAATAGGTATTTTTCGTAAGCCTTAAATGAAATCATCTAGATAATCTTATCTTAGTTGTCTTAAATATATAAGTGCATTTCTGACAATAATATTTCTTGTCGACTTTATATGAACAAGTTAGTCGGTACTTATATCATTCAAAAAACTGTTTGCCGATTACTCAATATTTGTCATAATATTATTCAAGATAAGTAACCTAAAAGTATGGCACGCGCGGTAACTAATAATGTTTTAACGAATATTGTTTATGTTCATCAATTTATCATGATATTTTATAGTCAAGAAGGAAAATTAATATTATTTATCTTATCAGTAAGAACAGATAAAAAATATATTTAAAACATATTTTTGGTTACTAGGGTAAAATATTAACCAGTAGAATTACACAATTAAACACGATATTTACTATATCTATTATAACGTAAAATATACTTAGTATAAATTCTAATTTTTACAACTTCAAAATAACATGGAAAAGAGTATATATGAGGAATTGTAGCCGTTGTATACAATAACATATTTTTTTAAGGGAATAAAAAATACAACATGTATTTGTTTAAATAAATGAAGTAAAAGTAGTTATTTTATCGATAGACAATTATTATAGAATCTCTTCACAATGAACCTAATTAAGTGTCAAGTATTATTAAAAAAATAAACATTTTTGTTTTCCATAAAAATAAAAAGCTAGAAAAACTATAATGCAAAAATGTCTCATAATATGTAATTATTCATATAAAAATGTCAAATGAAACTGCAAAAAAAAAAATTAATGATACCCCACATGACGGGTCGTTAAATTTTTTTAAAGTAATGATGTGCATACAAATATTAAATGTTATTTTATATTTTATACCTAATGAAATATAAAAAGAAAAAAATATTAATTATTTCACTTTTACACTAATTTATAGATAAGTTTATATAGAATATTCAACACAAAAATATATAAAATTGATATATAGTCTAATATACACATTTAAATAATTGTGATTTTTATTATCTTTATAAAAATTTTATTTTGAATAAATCCTAAACTTTTACATAGCTAATTTTTTAAACAATATTATTTTAAAATGACAACTATAATAATTTATTATTATTTTATATGTTGTTAAACTGTAGGTATATTATAATTTTAACAAATAAATATATTTAATATGTGAGTTTTATTAAATCTGTCATTTAAATTTTTATCAATTATATATTTAGGTAATAGGTACGGATTTATGTACCATAAATTATAATATATATATAGATACAGTTAAACATGAAAAAAATAATACCTCATACAAAGTTTATATTTTATAACGCCTATAAAAATATTATAATAATGGTTTGAGATTTAAGTATACATAATATATAATATACCTACAATTATATTATATTAACATATTATACATAGTAGTTTTTTAAGCATGCTCACCTAAATTTTTCTATTTAATTATACGTGTATTTAAGTTTTTATTTTTTGTATTTTTAATGATAGTTATTTTCAATTATTTATTTTATTAATGTAATTTAAAAAAAGTTCTTTGGGAATATAAAATTCTTCATTTTTTTTTTTTTTTTTTTAATAAGAACTACTCTTTTTTACTATCAATAATTATTAAATATAAAATTTATTTTGAAATTTTGATATATATATATATTTAAATTTAAATGAGTAGTTTTAAAGACTGGAGTTATTAAATTTTGTTAACTATATAAGAATAGGTTTGGATGATAACAAGAGTTAGGTCAGTTAAGGTATAGCTTAAAAGTTATATTAATCTTTTAGCATTTCTAATTTGCAAAGCATTTTTTAAGTATATAATAAGTATCTACAAGATATTATAAAAGCTTAGATTAAATATTAAAATGAAAATATGAACTATTTGATATTATGGATAAATATATTTTTAGTTTATACATTTTTATAATGCAGAAACTATTGGTTCATGTTTTGATTTATATATATAATCATTTTCAAAAAAATTAATTTACAGTAACAGGTGGTTCTCACTTAAAAAAATATAAGTTTGAATCACCTCAAGACAATTCTTAAATGATATAAAAATGTAATTATTTGATAATATGGTCCCTCAATATACTTATTATTGAAATATCAGAAATTGAATTGACGAATTAATTAAATGCAAAGAGGTTTAGGATACATTTTAAATCACTTCATATAAATATTTTTGTATTAAAAATAAACAGCAAATAAGTGAAATATATTTTTTATTGCTTATTCGAAAGAGTCATTATGTATTTTAAATTCTAAACTATTTATAATACATAAATGAAGTGATTATCTGAGGCCAAACCTTGCATTGGCTAAACAATAGGCCCGTGTTATAATATACGTGTAACATTCTCGTATCGTGTAAAATAAGTAAATCAAATAAATATACTTTTATAAGTGAAAAATCATATTATGTAAATACATTTTAGTACTGAAATATATATTTTGTAACGAACTTACATCGAAATATGTGATAAAATGATGCGTTTATTTTTTTAACGCTGTTCGCAATAGTTTTAGGTAAATTAACGCTTATAAATTATCTACTTAAATTATATACATAGTTTTATAGGAATAATTGCAGTTTATCGTTATATGTTAGTAATTGTTTGTATGTCAATTATGTTTACTGATAAATTTACCATTACATATATACACTACCGAATTCATTTAGAATACGTTTGTTAAAGGTTATATTTTGATGACCACGGATCATGAATGAAAATAAAAATTATCGCTTTTATAGTTATATAACAAGTAATGACTAACGAGAAATATAGTTAATTTCTTATCAATTAAAATATATTTAAAAAATAGATACCTATGTACAAATCGGTTTATTTTGATATAAAGTAGTTCGAAAAAAGTATAACCTAAAGTTATAAAATGATATAGTTATTACTGTTATTAGATATTTTATTATACCTATATCGTACCTATTAAGTAATCTATACCTATATAATTGATAAGTATGAGGTATCTTAATAATATTATATTGCTTACTACTATTAGTGATTTCGAAAGAAAATATTTGTGATTTTATGTATTTATATATACTTAAAGCTAAGCTAAGTACGTGTTAACTACCTACTCTAACAGCATTTATTAGAATAAAAATCAATTAGGTACATAAATTACGAATGAAGTTAAAAAAAAAAAAAAACAACGAGACTGTTTAATAATATCTCAACAGGTTGAAAAAGGATCTTATTGAATTTTGTGTGTACGATTTTTGACTATACTCTCAGCGAAACATTTCCAGCGTAGTTTAAGGAGATTGGGATGTGTTGGAAAAAAACTTCAGTAACGTCGCATGATACTATATTATGATATGGGTACCCAAGTAGGTACTTACCGAATACGGTTTCGAACTTAAGTCGATCGGGCACCACTGCGATAACGACGACAATAATCGTGACGTTGGGTAATCGGAATCGTACAAACAACGGATGCAGCATAGACAGGAGTCACAATCGCACAATTATACGCACGTCGTCTCGCGACCATCGCGGAACTGAACGTGTGGCACTGATGCTCGGGCACGCTGCTGGTGCGCCCCGTCGTCATCGCCGTCGACCCCCCTCCCATACCCTTTCCGTCGCGGCTTTTCTAAATTTAGCGCTGACGTCAATTTCCGGCTTTCCGATTGGCCGACACGGCGTCCCCCTAGCCAAACCTATTGGCCGGGCGGCCAGCCGCGGTTTGGCGGGCAAATTCGATTTTGACCGTTTCACACTGCCGATTGTCACGTGCAAACACACACGCACACGCACGCGCGTGACTCCGATCGCCGCACCACTTGCATGCACATCACAGCCCGCAGTCACTTTGCCCATCGACGTCTGCCGTAGACACCTATGACATTGATAACGATAAAAATAATATTATGTAGGTAGTAATAGTGTAATCTACCGCCGCTGAGAGTACGTACTTAAACGACAACAACGGAGGAAATAATTAATAATAGTAATAACTAGTAATATTAGTAGAATGTCGGTATATGTATACGTATACCTAATACATAGTGCGATTAGGTATGCGTGTATATAGTGTATAATATGTATTTACTAAATTCATCTTAAGCTTTATAGGCTCGAGTACATAGAGCGCGGTCTGCGATATTTCCCGCGGTTATGCGGCAGTAAAATAAAATTGTATTACGTATCAAACATCGTATATAATTCTCGTCACACTGCAGAAGACGGTTTGTCGCGGCGGCACAATACATAGGTAGATATTGCGACGACAGGTGATTGAGTCGTATAAAATTACAAAATTTCACGCGGGCAACTGACGATTTGTTTTTAAATTTTTATATTAAATTTGTAATATATAGTGAATGTGTGTTCTTATTCGACTGCACATATCTTATTAAGATAAAAAAAATATATTGAAAACAGCCGAAGCATTGAATAAAATATTCGAAAAGCTGGACATAACCAGTATATAATCACAAAAACAATGAAAAAATGATATGCATTTGAAACTTTATATAACAATAATCAAAGTTAGATAATAAATCTAAACTGTGAAAAATATAGTATTTATACTAGACCACTTATGAAACAAAGGCATGGTGTGTGCCGTGTGGCGTCACTAGATCGCTGGCTGCTGCGACAATCCAACGATCGCAACCCATAGTAACTAGACAATGCTTAAGTATTACAGCATTATAGATTTAGCTATATATTGTTTATAGTATGTATATATTGGTATACATGTACCTACCATAATAATATGTCTGTGTACGGTTACGAGATAATCGCGGTGTCATCGAAACGTGTAAATCTCAAAATTCATTAATTTTCCTTGAACTGTATAGGTATATTATAAATAAATTTATAAGTTATCTATATTTATAGTTATATACACAAATACATTGGTAAAAATAAACCATTATAATTAATACAAAATTTCATTTTAATAATATTTAATTTATAAATTGATCCTTTTAGTTTTTATACATTTAGAAAATAATATTTGCATTTGAGTATTTCCAAATAACCTAAGGAATAATTAACAAATGCTTAAAATATTAAACATTTAATAAGGTTTATTAGTTTCGATGAAGTAAGGCTATCTTTAGGCAAATTAAATAGTGAAATAATAAAAATATGATCATAGAGTAACTATATCTAATAATAAATTAATAAATATCTTAGAAAATTAATATTTAACAAATAACTAACAAGGTGTATTATAAAGTACAGTAGTATATCAAATGACTTTTATACATTATTATTTATACTATATAAAGATGACTCAACCTTACCAAAAAATTTTAATTAAATATAAAATAATTTTAGAATTTGTGAATTGATATGGTTAAATTATTAAAATGTGCTTATACTACTTTCTATAAGCTTATAAAAACTTAGAAGTATCGATTTCTAAATTTAATAGATAATGGTGTTGATGCAATGATTAATCTATTAATTAAACAATCAATAAAGATATCATAATTACTATTAATTATCAAATACAATATATTATATACGATATATCATTCACCTATATCTATTGCTATACATACATATTCGTACGTGTTTATCATATTTTTTGAGGCAATATGAGCTAAGAGACAAATTTAGTATTTACTATAATATCTGTGCGATATTGTCTAATATATAATATATACCTATACATGATATATCACAATAATAATATGTTACTGTGTCAGTAATACAACGGCGTAAACTGTCAAGAATTTTGTTTTTGGTTCAATTTATTTTTTTGTGTATTAATGGTTCTTATATAGTTCTTTAAGTTGAATATTAAGTACATTACTTATTTTCGTTACCTATTACAAACATTAATGGATGCACTTACATAATACCCGAATGAAAAATTTTGGAAGGAATTAACTCGGTTATAGATTTATTGTACATTAAATGAATCATTTGAAATTGATGCTATAACTTATTTTTAGCAACATGGAAAATACAAGGTTTACTTTAAATATACAAATATTACACTTATATGGTGACGTTTAACTAAATCAGCTAATAAAATTAAAAATATTAACTATAACTACTTAATTTAAACCTAACCTAACCTAACCTCGCTACTATATAATATATACTGCAGTTTTTATTGTTTTTAAGTATACCGAAATTATAAGATATTTACATCAACCATGGTTTGGATTTATCTGAATTAGCGATAAGATTATGATAATAATAAAAATATAGTTATCATCTCATCTTTATAAATAGATCATCCACATTTTTATTAATACAGTAAAATGTCAGCCACATTGTTTAATGAGTTTTACTAAAAAAGAATCAATTTTTAACATTAATAATGCAATAATAAGAACAATCAAATGCAATATCTATATTTTGTTTTGTATTTCTAAATTTCGATTTATTAAAAATTTATACTAGAGATGAGTTAGATATACATAGTCAAAATATAGTCATTGTACATACACCTATAGCGTTAGTATAGGCTGCACTACCTACTGTGCTGTATCAAAGCAACGTTTAAATTATAAGTAGTCTATACTGACTAGAATATGCAAAACATACACTATACTATCTCCGTTTACTGTCTAGTCATCAATTACACTTAATATTAAAGTATAACTATAATATTATGTATGGCGATATCATGGCCAGTACTAAACACAATAACTTACAAGTGTATGAACAGTTTTTTTAACATCGTATTGTTGGAATAATGATATCTATATTTACTTTATTTTGACAAAACTACTACATTAGCCTGTTAAAGTGATCATATGTGTTCTGCGGTAAAAAAAAAATAATAGTATTATTTATCAGTTGAGTTTAATATTTTTAAAGTTAGTTATTTTAGAATTTAATTTTTTTCCCTGAAATCGACAGCTGGCTGTCTGGTGATGTAGTTATACATTAATTAAATAATATGTATATAAAGATAATAACATATGAAAATACCTTTGTATTTTATAATTAGTATTATTATTGCAAGTTGCAACTAACTTATCTGGAAAAAATTTGGGTATTACGTGTGAATATATCAGAGTGATTAAATAAGAAATAGCTATTACATGTATATCTTAATTTTATTAATTTCTAAACATTTTTATTCTCTCTATTAAGTGCTTATATTATTATAACACAATATACCTATTACATACATTTTATGCATTTCGTATATTATACCAATAGGTATACTATTACCATATTCCAAAAGATAAAATATAATAGCTATATTGTTCATTCCGTACAGGTAGATATATATAATAATACTAACAAACTGATCAGTTTAATTTGACTTTTAAGGGGTTCATTTTGTTTAGCTTCATTACATCTTATGTAACATGGCCCATGAGTGCGTTCTTATTGCAGCCGTGTGCTACGTGTGTATATACCAATATCTATATGTATAATATCATTCACCAGGTTATGTATAATAACGAAAGTTTTCAACAGATATACTATAATTTAAACAATACCGTTTAAACTTTGAGTCTTTGAATAGGTTGTAGAAAGATATATTATATTCACCGTTGTACATATAATATAGTATATATACATATATTACATATTATAAAATAATATTTTATTAGACAATCGCACGTATTATAATATAGTGTTTTAGGTACCTATATTGTACATGTGTGAGTAAATCTTTAGTTTGTCAAAATCGAGTTTTGCTAAACCGACGATGATGGCACCACCAAAATAGATTTTTCGCTCAGATTTGCGGAATCTGACGTTGCAAATCAATATATTTTAGCTATTATTATAAATATATATGTTTGAGGCTTGCTGTATAGACAGCAGATAAACAAGCCGGTCAAATATATGCGATCCACCTCCCCCTCCCGATCAGGTATAATGCGTCTGGGGCTCATAAATTATTATTACTATATATATTCTAACTGCGAAGACGAAAAACCGCTACAGCACGAACATCGGACAGCGACAGTACTTATTCTTGGAAATTATTATAGTTTTTCATTTTTTTTTCGTACCCAATGTTTGTTTATACACAAGAAAAAAATCTATTGTCGCGTAAGCGCGGATTTTATTTTGTATTTTTTTTTTTAGCTATTACTCTAAAATACACGTTGTAAATACGGCTTGCTTTGCAGTATTGAAAACTCGACAATCGATCGGACTGTTATGGTTCGCTATAATTTCAACGTGTGTGAGTTTTTTTTTTTATTATTAAAAATATCAACAAATTGTACGCTTTGGAGGAAAAATAATGAAGTCATTCAATAATATTATGATATTATATAAATATATATATATATATATGATGCTTACTGCGTTAGAGGTATTTTATTTCAAACTTTCTTTACTCACATGAAAAACATTCTTAAAATACACAGAGAACTGTAAAATAATTGATAATTCAATAAACAAATTATAAATACTTACATAGTATCAATTTTATTTATTATAATCTATATATTGTATGATATAAAAAAAAAATTGTTTGCAAATAAAATAAACATTAAACATTAAATGTTAGGTAATTAAAAATTGTTTGTTCAAAAATTAGATTAAAATTTTTAGAA